GGGTGTTATGCACAAACAATGAATCATGGAACACTACATCAACAACTAATGATGTAATGTATGGTGATTAACATAACAATAAAAAATTTAAAAAAAAACCCTCTTCTGTGATACCATTAACACTCTCTTCCTACTTACTGACTGGTATCCCTTTTCTTTGAAGGAGTACCCTATTTCTATCTCCATTCCTCATCTACCACTCACTCCTCAAACTACTGCAGTTAGGCTTTTCTTTCCCAACCCATCACTGCTGCTTCTGGGACCCTAGAACATCTGCTCTTATCCATCTTCACATATTTATTCAACAAATACTGAGTCCCTACCAAGTGCCATACATGGTTCTCACTCCTGATATATGACAGCAAATGAGACAAGGTCTCTCTTCTCAGGAAGTTCACATACCAGGTGTGAATCAAAGATAAGTAAGGAAAAAAGGAAACAGATTGTGAACAAAATAATTCCATGGAGAACAAAATAAATATATTTATTATATATACTAAATATATATTTATATACATGATGAGGGAAAGAGCAGTACTTTAAATTAGGTGATCAGGAAGACCTCAATGCAGAAGTAGCAAGCAAGGGAAAATAAAATCCCAAAATGACTGTATTAAACGGTTCTAATAAGAATTGAACATGAAGATTGGTTAAGCAAGTTGTAAAATAATTTATGTGTGAATTTTAAAATATGACAAGAATGTAAAGTGACGAAAAACATCTGAAAGCAAACAACTTTTGATATCAAGTGGAGCCTAATTCAAATACAGGCCATTTGGGCAAAAATGAAAATTCTAGAGCATGCATATAAAGAAAGGGAGAAGGGAAGGAACAACCTAGGAGGTTGACCTTGATTTAACATCAGTAGACTGCCAATAAAAAGAGGTACTTCAACTGAGCATACTCTTATTTTATAAACTCACAGGATTTTGAAAAAAAAATCTCTGGGCTACATACTTCTTTTTTTTAAGATTTTTTAATTTTTATTTATTTGACAGAGAGAAAGAAACACAGCAAGAGAGGGAACACAAGCAGGGGGAGAGGGAGAGGGAGAAACAGGCTTCCTGTGGAGCAGGGAGCCTGATGCAGGGCTCAATCCCAGGACCCTGGGATCATGACCTGAGTCGAAGGCAGACGCTTAACCGACTGAGCCACCCAGGAGTTCCTACATACTTCTTCAAAGTGCCTCCAATGAAGGGGTTCCCTTCCACAAATTTAAGGAAATTTTAATATTGGAAAATCTATAATTTACTCTAATAAACGAAGAGAAAATAGTTTTCACAATGGTTGCTAAAAGCTACTGAAAGGGTACGTTTGATACCTAATAAGTACCTGAAATGGCTTAGAAAACCAAAATTGTTATTCTAAGCACACAGATCTCAAACAAAATCTTAATACCACCTTTGATGATGAAATGCTACTATCATTTCTTAATAGAGCCAGAAAGTGACAAGGAAGCTTTTTATCAGCATTACAGTCGAAAAGTATTTGTAAATATTTGGAAATTAAAGTTTAAAAAGATTTAAACACTAAAAAAGAGCCTAAATAGTTTTAGTTGATCTGATTGCACTGCAAATGAGTAAATATCTAGAACAGCTTTGTCTTGGGAAACTTTACACTCTGAAAAATAAACAGGAAGCTTAGCAGACTCTAAGCAAAGGCAACCTTAAGTCAGGCATGGTTTTTTACTCATAGACATATTTGCAGTGTCTATTCCAGACATATAGTAGATACCAAGAATTTTGTTGAGTGAATGAATGAGCCATATTTTCAATCTTTATGTAGTAAGAATGTTGGGTTGTGGGGGGAAGATTAAGAAGATGACCAATTCAATGTGACTCTGTGCTCTCTGGACCTGAATGTCTTCTGTAATCAAGTCGTTATAATAGCATTTTTCTAAAAACCAGATAAGATAGTACCTGTAAAAATATATGTAAACTGAAAAATATTGTATGGTGCTAGGGTGATATTATCACAAATATGAGAGTACTACTTTCTCTGCTGTTGAAATAAAAGACCTGATAAAACAAAACAAACAAAAAATAAATAAATAAGGAGGAACCACCGAAGCTATTATGTCAATAATATCTGCCAATATTTACTGTACAAAACATTATGGCAGAAATTTATTGCAGAATCCATTTAAAAATTGTAGTAAGAACCCATTATATCATGTTAACATAAATTTCAAATGCATATGAAAATATTTTTTTCTATAAAAGCATAGAGATTGATGTTGCTTCAGATATTTAAAAAACTCTTCAATAACTCGCCTAATAGAAGTCAGGTGGATTCTTATATCAGCTTCTGCACTTTGTCTGTTGCCATTTCATCCATAACAAACCTCTGGAAAATTCACCACAAGCTCATGAGAGAATGAGAGAGAAAAGGGTAAATATCATTATAACAAAAATAACCCCTATTGAGGCTGACCTACAGAAATATCTAACAGAAATGACTGCTTGGGAAAGGTTAAGGAGAGTCCACAATTGCCAAAGGAATAAATTGCAGTCAAATATATATTAACGTAGGGCTGATCATGTTTTGTTCATGGTAAGAGTACTTTATTTTTTCAGATTTTATTTATTTATTTGATGGAGGTGGTGGGAGGGAGAAACAGAGATAGCAAGAGAGAGCACGAGCAGGGAGGAGAGGAAGAAACAGACTCCCCGCTGAGCAAGGAGCCCAATGCAGGACTCAATCCCAGGACCTTGGTATCATGACCTGAGCCCAAGGCAGATGCTTAACCCACTGAGCCACCCAGTGGGGTTTTTTTTTCTTTTTAGATTTTATTTATTTATTCGACGGAGAGAGACAGAGAGAAAGAGAGAGTGCACAAGCAGGGGGAGTGGCAGAGGGAGAAAAAAATACTTTAAATATCCACAGAATGCCCCAAGAACAGAAACTATAGAGTTTGTCCCACTTTTTAGAGCTACAGGTCTTTTTGTGCCAAGTAAGGTGGCTCTGAAAAGAGCCTTTGGTTTGAAAGGTGGTCAGGCGGTCCTGAGGCAGCTCATTGGTGGAAAGTGTACCTGATGATGGCCTTGCTGGCCTTGGACATGGCAAACTTGCCAACCTCTCCTGGTAGCAGCAGGCGCATGGCTGTATGGATCTCCCTGGAGGTGATGGTGGAGCGCTTGGTGGAGCGGGCCAGGTGAGAGGCTTCGTCCGCGATGCACTCGAAGATGTCCTTGACGAACGAATCCAAGGTGCTCACGGTCTTCTGCGAGAGGCCCAGGCCCTCGTGAACCCGCTTCAGAACCCTGGGGAAGTAGGTGGTGAAACTGTTGTGGCAGAGGCAGTATTGGCACCTCGGCTGCTCCTGCTTCAGGCTCTTCGGGTCCGCTGCCTTGGGCTCCTCCATGCTCAGGCTTTCCTCAGAGGAGGTCTCACAGCCAGGCTCAGCCATATGGGGCTCGCCTTCCCGACAGCTCAGAAGGAAGGACAATGGCGGCTGCTGAGGGGCGTTGGCCCATTTATAGTTGCTGCATTTCCTGACGTCACAGGCAACCTCCATATCTGATTGGACAAAATGCAATGCAAGGAAGCGGGGCTCTATGCCAGGCTGTGTCCCCTGTGATTGCATACCCTCGAGCTTGACATCACATCGGATAATCAGAGAGGGAATTCTGGTGCCCTCTAAACTTCTTGGGACGTCAGTTAGAAAATCTTTGTAAGATGCCACAAAGAGCAAAACATCTTCTGAGAATAGCAGCTAAATGATGCCTATATAATGAAAACTTAAAAAAAAAATCACTCAAGTTTGCCTGGTTAGCTCAGTTGTTTCAGCATCTGACTCTTGATTTCTACTCAGATCATGATCTCAGGGTGGTGAAATCTAGCCCCTTGTGGAGCACTAACCCCCCTTAGCAGGGTGTCTGCTTGAGAGTCTTTCCCTCTCCCTCTGCTCCTCCCCACTGCGCTCTATCTCTCTATCTCTCTCCACCTCTCTCTTTCTCCTCTTTTCTCAAATAAATAAATCTTTTAAAAAATATATCACTCAAATCACCTAAATTGTGGAATATCAGTTTTAGTCCCTTGGTAGAATGTGACCTTCCTAACCAAAGTTATACCTCCAGCACTATGACTGTGCCAAAAATTGACCATTTCACCTCTAATCCACAATCTACTGGGTGGCCACTATGTCTCGAGGAGAAACTCTGACATAGCTACCAGAGTGCTCCCACAATCAAGGGAACTGCTTACTAACCAGTGTCTTCAGTTCTGATAAGAACTCTCTGTGATTTGGGAAAGAAATGGCAAAACCACCATCTCCAAAATTAGAACATATACAGAAATGAAAATAGTTACAGATACAGTTTTAAATCCTTAAACATGTACCATGTTTAAAATTTTCTTATCAATACTTAGATCCTAAAAATACTTTAAATGCTAATATTGATTAATACATATAAGAGCTATTGGATGAAAAATATATATTAACCTAATTCTCTAAGAAACCTCCTTAAGGAGAGAAAAGTTATCAATAAAATGGGAAATACTTTAAAATTAAAACTCCAACCCTTTTGGAATTTTTTATGATACATGCAAACATATTTCTACATGTATGAATGCAAAACAGTTTAAAATTTGAACCACGGAAATTATAAAACCAAACCAATTATAGAAATTGAATCAAACAAAGAAGAATTGAAGAAATAGAGGTCATCAATGAGCTATGGTCCCAAATGGCCTGGCTTCCATGGGTGTGTCTTATCAAACCTTCAAGGATCAGGTAATTCTACTGCTAATAAAATAGTTCCAGATAATGAAAAAAATCCTTCCTTCTTATTTCAAGAAAATATAATATGATGGCAAAACCTATTGAAGAATGTGTGCTAAACAGATTTCTGAGAAGTCCCATTTATAAAGGAGAATACAAAAATTCTACTTCAAATATTAATAAATTTGGTGTCACATTACAGAAAAGACTTTTTAAGTAAGAGAAACAGCTTTACTGCTGTAGATAATAAATTACAAGCATCAAACTGGGGGAAACATTGTTCATAAAACAAAATACCCCATATAGACTTTTTTCAACACAACCCCTACTGTGGAGATCATTTAAATAAATAACCGAAGATCCAAACACAGTACAGAAATGAGCTAAATCAGGAAGCTCATAAAATAGTGCCTTTTTCAAGCTTCCTAGAACTGAATATAGACTATTCAGATTTATCCAATTCTATTGTTTTCTGGTCTATACTCTTTTGAAGTTTTTTTTAATACTCTTTTGTTTTTTAAAATGCAAAGCTTCAGAACCTATAGTTATGATTCATGGGATGATGGGAATATCCAATCAGAGTAGCCCAAGCCCCACCCTCCACTGGTTCAGCCAATGAAGGACCTGCAGATCCTGAACCACAACCATTGGCTCAAAGTGGGAGCAGGTGATAAGTGTGAACCAGTAAGTGTTCCTGGGTGTTCACCCTTAGAGACTGAGGAGGAAAAATATATTTTTCCTCCCTTGTTTGTTCAGGCCCCTAAATCTCAATCCCTACTATTAGTGAGTTTATTGGGGGAAAACTATGGCTCTGGTTAGACAAGTAAGTGGATCTAGTAACTAGAACGTTGCCCCACATTATATATTTAAGAAATGCTGAGGGGCACTTGGGTGGCTCAGTTGGTTAAGCATCCCACTCTGGATCTCAGTGCAGATCTTGAGCTCAGGATCTTGAGTTCAGACCCCACTTTGGGCTCCACAATGGGCATGGAGCCTACTTTAAAAAAAAAGAAATGCTGAGTAAAACTACTCTAGGTGAGCAATGTTTTTCCCATCTCCTGTTTGTATGAGTACTCAGTAGCTACATCTTTCACCTGCCACCATGTACCTCTCATCTCAGCCTAACACACTGCTCAAGATAGAATCAATGCTAATGAAACTATTATTAACAGATGCAACTGAACAATGGGGTTATTATCCAATCCTAGGTCACCTGACAACGTTCATTCTTTCTGTCAGGCCCTTTGAAATAATCCTAATCTTGTGCAAATGCAGCCTAAATGATATGCAAATACAGAGGTTGCTGAATCTATCATGGATATACAATATGTTTCTCATATTTACAAATATCAGTGTTGAAAGGAGAGCAAATGTTTTGGATGACAGAATCAGGATGCAAAGAGATCTCATCATGAGCAAACTTGAGCACATCAGCAACCAGGATGTTCCCCATTCATGTAAGTTGGATTCAAAGGATAAGGGAAATGTCATCAGGAGAAGCCCTGGAGATATAGAGGCAGACATACAACAGCTGACTTCAAATATTTGAGGAGGGACAACTACATTGTTTGGGTCTCCAGGACACAGTCCTAGGACTATTGGATAGAAGCTATAGGAAGGCAGGTTTGGGCACAGTGTAAGCAGCCTGTCACAGCCTGTAAGAAGCTGAGTGACTCTGCCAGATAATTACTTCAGGCAAGAGGTAAGGTATTGATGACCAACATGGTTACTTCAAACTCTGAAATCTTCTGGCCTTGTGCCTGTGTTACCTAACTGACTTTTAATCAGAGTGAACCCAACTACTGTTTTACTTATTGAAGTTTATGTTATTGAAAACAGCTTCCACGTCCTGTAAACCCAGTGATTATTTAAGAATATCAGCCCTCGGAAGGAGGTGGTAAGATAATAATTGAGGTTGCAAATAGGTACAGACAGCATAATCACTTTTTGTAGGAAAATATATGAATATTAATAGACCAGCCTGGATTGTCATACACTCAAATACTGATACTTTTAATTGGTGGGATTATAGGTGATTGGTTCTTATAAATTTTAAGTGATGAAAGTATTGTTTAAGGGCAGGTATCGGAGCTTGCCAATTTATATGTATTCCTTATTGTATTAGTTTGAGTTGCCATAACAAAGTGCCATAAACTGGCTGGCTTAAACAAGAGAAATTTATTTTCTCACAGTTCTGAAGGATAGAAGTCCCAGAACAAAGTCCTGCAGGCTGTTTCTGCTGAGAACTCTCTTCCTGTCTTGCAGATGGCCACTCCCTTGTGTCCTCACATGGCAGGGAGAGCGATCTCTGGTGCTTCTTCCTCTTCTTTTAAGGCCACAGTTCTATCAGATTAGGGCCCCACCCTTAGCACCTCAATTAACCTTAATTACCTCCTAAATACCCTATCCCCAGATCCAGTCATATTGGGAGTTAGGGCTTCAACATATGAATTTTTGGGGGGGTGGGGGAGAACAATTTAGTCCATAACACTTATGCTCACCATGAATACCCAATACTTGATTCATTAAGATGGTGAATTTTGTTCAGGACAAGGAGACCAAGAGGTTCAATGCTGTGGGTCATCAGCAGGTATTACATTTCTGAGTTTCTGCTCAATAGTAAGATGTGATGTGCTTAGCACAGTGTGTGCTAGCATGTGCCTCCTATGCCCTTCTGCATCTATTACCAGCCTTAGGCATCTCCTTCCATTAAATTTAAAAGCACATTTGAGAAAGCAAGACAGCCCAGCTAGAATTCCAGCTCTTATTCACCTTAGATCATCACTTCAGATGTTTTCATTTCTTCATTTCTGAGATTAGGGGGCTAGTCCACATGACCTCTTCTTCCAAGGTCTCGAATTGTATGATTCCAACTCTAAGGAAAAAGCACCTAGCATCACTAAGTCAGGACCCACTGCACCTGGACAGCAGAGAGCCTATCCATGTGAATGATCTGCCAAAGTGTCTTTCCTGCAACCATTTTGTTTGGCTAAAAAGAGTACCCTTGGTACTTCCATTCTTTAGAAGACCACTAGGAATGAACCACAGGAGCCTTAACGTGTTGATTTATTATTTTATTGCCACATTAGAAATGAAAATAAACTGTGAAAATCTGCAAACCCATGCCCCTTCATGAAGATTATGGAGCAATGGAGACACCCATTGTAGAAGGTGAAAAGTAGCTTATCCTGTAGCGGGTAGAAGAACATCACACACAAAGGTCATCAATGGTGGGATTATGGACAACATCTGCCAGCTGGAGTTTATGCATCAATGGAAAGTTTAAAAATGAACGTAAGGGAACACTGGCTACTCCTGACATCTTAGCCAGGGAGTATGGGTGTGAAGCATCAGAAGGTGCCTAAAATCTCTACAAGCACATAGGTTTACAAAAAAACAAGCCCCAAACCGAGACACTCAGGCATTGTTGAAAACTGCTTGTGGGAGGAGATTCCCATCTTATGAAGTTTGAACACACTCTTTCTCCTGCTGGATAGCTGGGGGAAAAAACAAACATAAAAAAATCATTAAGAAGGTTTTTTCCTAAGATTAAGTTCAGTTTCTTCCCCAAAAGCACTTTTCCGAGTCACTGGAGGCTCCCATACCTGCTTACAGGTAGGGGTGTGTGTGTGTGTGTGTGTGTGTGTGTGTGTGTGTGTGTGTGTGTGTGTGTGTAAACCACCTGAATGTTCATTAGAATCTACATCAACTGCAGGGTTTTTTCCCATTTAAGAGGTAGATCTATGCTGTTGCCATTTTTTCCATATGTTATTTTAAGAATGAAGAGGAACTGAAGCATTTTCTTCAGATTTATCTATCCCTATACAATTTGAAAGATATACCATTTCAGACAATTTTGACTA